CGGAGTTAATGCGTGTAAGTGACAAATTCTGGGTGTTAGCAGACATATCAGGCACAGTAGCGACCAAAGGGAAAATAATGGAATGCTAGTCCAAGGAATGTAAGTCAGCGTACATTTGGCATTCTCTGTTGCCACCCGGAAGGGGACTCACAACCCATGGATGCAGTGGTTATTTTGGCCCAGTCACATTGAAAAATTCTGGGTGTTAGCAGACATAGCAGGCACGTTAGCGACCAAAAGGAAATAATGGCATGCGAGTCCAAGAAGTATAAGAGTCAACAAACATTTGGCATTCTCAGCTGACACCCGGAACAGGACTCACAACCCGTGGACGCAGTGGTTATTTGGGCCCAGTCACCTTAGCAAGCATTTGGCATTCTCAGCTGACAGCCGGAATGGAACAGGGAGCCCCAGAACACAGTCGCTGTTTAAGCCCAGTCACCTTACATGCTGCGCCACCAGCAGAGTTGATGTGCATAGGTGAAAAATCCTGGGTGTTAGCAGACATATCATTCACGGTAGCGACCAAAGGGAAAATAATGGAATGCTAGTCCAAGGAATGTAAGTCAGCGTACATTTGGCATTCTCTGTTGCCACCCGGAAGGGGACTCACAACCCATGGATGCAGTGGTTATTTTGGCCCAGTCACATTGAAAAATTCTGGGTGTTAGCAGACATAGCAGGCACGTTAGCGACCAAAAGGAAATAATGGCATGCGAGTGTAAGCACTATAAGAGTCAGCGTGCATTTGGCATTCTCAACTGACACCCGTAATGGAACTCACAACACGGAACAGTTTTTATTTCAGCCCAGTCACCTTACATGCTGCGCCACCAGTAGAGTTGATGAGGGAGAGTGGGAGAGTGGGAGAGTGGGAGAGTGGGAGAGTGGGAGAGAGTGGGAGAGTGGGAGAGAGTGAGAAATTCTGGGGGGTTAGCAGACATATGAGGCACGGTAGCAACCAAAGGGAAATAATGGCATACTAGTCCAAGGAATATAAAAGTCAGCGAGCATTTGCCATTCTCAGCTGACACCCAGAATGGAACTCACAACCCGGAACCCGTGGACGCATTCGAGATTTTAGCCCATTAACCTTACATGCTGTGCCACCTGCGGAGTTATTGTGTGCAAGTGAAAAAGTTTGGTTGTTAGCAGACATATCAGGCACGGTAGCGACCAAAGGGAAAATAATGGCATGCGAGTGTAAGCACTATAAGAGACATCAAGCATTTGGCATTCTCAACTGACAACTGGAAAGGAACTCACAACCCAGAGACGCAGTCTTTATTGCAGCCCAGTCAACTTACATGCTGCGCCACCAGCGGAGTTGATGTACGTACAAGAAATTCTGGGTGTCAGCAGGAGTCAGTCCTGCTCACACTCTATTTTTTTGGGTGGTCACATACCAATTCAGCTAGTGGTGCAGTGTGTAAGGCGACAAGTATACAAACACCAGGTCGTGAGTTTGAATCTGGGAATCGGCCTGAAAAAAAAAAAGAACAACAAATGAAGTTCCAGATGCCAGTGTTGGAGCCATGGTAAGTACAGCATGTAGCTGAAGGTGTCAAGGACCCTAATTGGTGCTGTGGGTCACAAGAAAGGTGGTCACAGAGCAATGCCCTTATAGGGTACTGTTGTGGGTGAGTTGTGGGTCATTCCAATGTGGGCTAGGATGGCCAGAGGAAAGGGTTGTTGTGTCTAAGGGTGGCCATACTGGGGGGTGGCAAGATGGGTTGGTTGGTACAAGCTGGGGATAGCACTGTGGGAAAGGATGGCCAGACATAAGGGGGTGTTGTTGTGGGCAACAAGTAAGGGTGCTGGTAAAAGGGGAGCCTGCACTGTGGGTAAGGATGGCTAGAAATGGGTGGTATTGTTGGGGTTAAGCAGGCAGTCAGGTAGGATTGCTGTGTTTACAAACACGTGTAAGTAGTGTTGTGGGTGAGTTGGTAAAGAAGGCCTGGATGTGGGTCAATCAAATGTGGGCTAGGATGGTCAGAGGAAAGGGTTGTTGTGTGTAAGGGTGGCAAGATGGGTTGGTACAGATGGTGAGGTTGGTTGGCTGGTACAAGCAGGGTGGGAAAGGACAGGGGTGCTGGTTGCCCACTGCACTGCGGCTAGAAATGGGTGGTATTGTTGAGGTTAAGCAGGCAGTCAGGTAGGATTGCTGTGTTTACAAACATGGGTAGGGGACATGGGTAGTGTTGTGGGTGAGTTGGTAAAGATGGGTTAGTGAAAGGATGGGGTGTTGTAGGGGTACTGGTTGCCCACTGCACTGGTAAGGATGGCCATGGTAAGTACAGCATGTAGCTGAAGGTGTCAAGGATGTGGATGTGGGTGTGGGTGTGGGTGTGGGTCATTCCAATGTGGGCTAGGATGGCCAGAGGAAAGGGTTGTTGTGTGTAAGGGTGGCCATACTGGGGGGTGGCAAGATGGGTTGGTACAGGTGGCAAGATGGGTTGGTGAAAGGACAGGAGGGGTGTTGGTTGCCCACTTCCCTGTGTGTAAGGATGGCTAAAAAGGGGTAGGGTGGTGTTGTGGGTTAAAGAGGCAGTCAGGATTGCTGTGCAAAGGGGTTTACAAACATAACTGACCACAACTATCCCCCCCACCCAGCAGAGTCACTTTTGATCTGCCGCCACCAC